GCATGCAGATTTGTGGGCTGATATCCGTGCTGAGCGTCCTTCTAGACTTAAAGCAACCTGGGTAGCGTCGCATTTGCCGCCTGATAAGTTTGTTGCTCGGTTTGGAGCTAACCAAGCTTGGCGACAGTATACAAACGAAGTCGCAGATGAGGCCTGCAACACTCTTGCAGGAACCCTGGTTGATCCAAGTTTCGCTAAGGCCCTGCATGAGGAAGACAGTGTACACAGAAAAACACTAGAACTGCTCAGCACTCGAGCTGCAAAAATCCTAGGTGCCAAAAATCAAGAGGCGCATCCTTGTGTGCGCGCGTATCTTGATTTTAAAGAAGCTCGCGCTGCCAAAAAATCCAATCATGATGAGACTGATCCCAAAGCAAGGACCCAGCCTACCTTGAAGCGACAACGGGTTGCCGGGACTTGTGTAGGTCATGGACATACCCAGACATGCCAGGAATGGTTTGGTCAGCTTGTCAGTGAAGCTAGGTCTCACGGTCATGAGTGGAAGTGGCAGGGCCTTGACTTAGTGTGTGGTCGGTGTGGCCTCAGGTTGCTACACACAAAGAACCGCAAAGTCTCGCAACAAAGGGAAGCCTCGCCCTGCGGCGCTGATGGACCTGTCCACTTCCCTGGTGTGCACAACACGCATCAGATGCAGCTCCAGGGCCAAGTTTGGGTGTGCACACAGTGTGGAGGCCTCCTGTCCCTCCACGGCGCGATCTCTAAGAAGCTCGAAAGCTCGTGCTCTCATAGAAAAGACGTTCGCAGCAAAGTGAAGTAGTCCAGGCTGTAGAGGTCAGCCAGTGTAGGCAAGCGCTTCCTAAAGGGAAGGAGACCGGTTGAAGAACAACCAGCGCCAGGTGACTCGCCCCTTGGGTTAAAGTCCGCGGAAAAAAATTGAACCCAGGTTCTCAATGTTGTTGTTCTCCCTCCCCCCTCTCCCCGAGCCCCGGAGAGTTCCTGGGTTGAACCTGGGTTCGAACCCCGCCCCCCCCGACCTTACTCAAGGCTTCGAAGGTGAAGGCGAAGGGCTTCATGCTCCCCTTTGAAGGCTTCGAAGGCTTCGAAGGCTTCGAAGGCTTCGAAGGGTAAAGACGAAAGAGGTTTCAAAGGCCCCTTCGTTCTGAGGGCTCGAAGGGGCTTCGGACCCTTTAGTGCGAAGGGGCTTCGAAGCTCGTTCAACCCTTCACTACGCAGAGTATCGCATCCTCGTGACTCGTGACCAGATTTGCGGCTGCAGCCTCGTCTCCATCCGCATCTCTGCACTGGCGAGGCTCTTCACCGCCCTCCCACGGTGCTGCAAACTGCCGCCGGCTCCAGACGTTCCTTCAACGCAGCGATGCAGAACCTTCTTTCACATCCGGACGTGGTGGCTGCCACCTTCACGGCCGTGGGCGGAGGTGTGAATCTGCGTCACGGGCTCGGGCTTCTTGCAAATCTGCGACACTTCGTTTTTCTGCTGCTGAGAACGAGCACTGACATCCTGCTCTTCTTGTCACTGGAAGAGAGGAGAAAAAGTCAGGGTCCGAACCCCGACGTCGGCTCCCTCCGTTGCAGCTCCTGCTGCTGCCCCTTCTGTTCCATCGGCTTCTGCACAGAATCCCAACGATGCCGATTGGAACGATATCTGAATGCCCTGTTTCTGAGTGCGTCTCTTCCGGGAAAGAAAAATGAAGTTGCCGTGCGGCGTCTCTTTGAGAAGATCGCTTAAGGCTTCGAGGCCCTTCGCTGAAGGGTCCTTGGATGCAGCCCCAAGTGGAGCTCTCGTGCAAGTGCAGTGGCGAGGCACTTCAAAGCTCCATTTTTGTTTTGTCAAACAAAACCAAAAATTCAGGGTGTGAGTGTTTCAAGTCTCCTTTCTGTCGGTACATGTTCTGGGCAAGTGTTGAAATCACCCATGCTCGGTGAGTTGGCTGCAGGGTGGTGCGAGGGAGCCCGGGGCAAGGCACTTCAAAGCCCCACTTCCAAGAAAAAAAGAGGGTGCGAGAGTCGTGAGTCCGCGTCATTTCATATGTTAAATATATTTGGAATGATGTTTCAAGAGATATCTCAATTTTTACATTTGTATATATATATATATATATATATTGATGCTTACACCCGGATGACACGTAGAGGGAAAATAACATCCACGTAAGCTAAGACGTACAACGACCGGGACTTGTGACAATACAAGTTGCTATCTGACTTGCACCGACGGAAACCCAATCGTTCCATAACGGAAGCGTGGCGGTCTTGCCAAAGACGTGGACTCTGATGCAATCCATACATCGCACGATTTAGACGCCACAGACAATTAGCTTGAGGGTAGTACTCTGCAGGTGGCCACACATACACTGTTTCTTCAATGGCCGCATGCAGAAAAGCTGTGGAAATGTCCGCTAGGCTAATCTCCCAAGATCGTGCCAATGCCATGTCACAA